TATATATATATATATATATATATATATATATATATATATATATATATATATATATATATATATATATATATATATATATATATACTGCCGACAAGGTAAAAGGCTGTCCGCCATTTGACGTGGGGCGGCAATTCTATGTTAGATCTGCGTTCCGACACATAACCATTTCTTTTCGCTACACAAAGCCCACACCGGTAGTATAAAGTACCCACTTTGTCCAATATCAAAACAAAAGATAAAAAGTGCATGGTCGAGCATTCCAAGAAAAATTACATAAAATTCAAATAATGTAAATTTGGTTGTTAATTTTCTCACATAATTCTAACCAAGAGATATTCCCACCTACATTTCATAAATTTGTTTAAGAGACTGATTTCATATGTGAGTATTAATTAAGGTTTGCTTCATGATCGAATATTTGGAAGGTATGTATCGATTGATGAGAGGATAGTGCGTGGTGTGTCGGATGTCGACACATGGACACCTGCTTCACATCACCGTCGTGCCTAATAGGTCTCCACATGAGGTTAGACGTGCCACGACCCATCGATAAGCTTGATAGTATAAATAGAGCTTCCTCACCACCGTTGCAGGCAAGGCTACGAAAGGCCAACCGGTTGAAGCAATGCTCGCAGAAAAGAGACATCCACGTAGATGGATGATCACATCCGATTCTCGTGATGATCGCCGCACACGTGGATGGACGACATTAAAGACTTCACGGTGCATCCCCCCTGTGAGCCTCGTGAGATGCATGAATAATCTTTAATTATGATTCGGACGGTGACTCGTTCGATAATAGATTAGCAATTTTATATTAAATCTTAATCGTCACAAGTTTAGGATACCGATCGCATTAGAAAAATGTGATTGGTCGAGCATTCTATGGAATAGAAAAAAGAATGTTTTATAGGGGGAGGAGGCACAGGATCGATTATTTCGAGAGAAATGATGGGAAAAAGAATTAAGTCTCCAATTTCTAATCACCAACTCAAGCTTTTTTTTTTTTTTTTGTTCTTTTGTGAAATAATCCATCATCGAGGAACAGAAGAAAATGATGCATAAATTTAGAAAAAGCCATCACACTTGTTTTCTCCTTTTTATTTTTTAAAAATTTAAATAATAATTTATTCTGCATTCTGAATGTAAACGCCGGATATGAAACCTTATTTCGAATTCATAACTATTAGGACTCTAGCTAGAAGAGTTTGAATCTGCTGGGACTCTAGCTAGAAGAGTCATAATCTGTTGGGATTATAGTTTGTTGGGAAATCGTGAGGAGTCGACATCTCATGCATAGCGGAAAACAAAACAAGACCAGATTTCCCATAGTTACGTACTTGGCCGTTGTGCGACGATTTGTGCGCGAAAAAATTGCTGATCCGAAAAATTACATGTATCATGTCAGAAGCGTTACCTGGGGAGATCGTATATCCCCGAATTTCCAGATCCAATGAAGAGGATGAAGGAGCACTAGCATACTGATGCTCCTTAGATCACCGCGGGATCTTTCTCTCCCCATGCACCACGAGGCTGCCGGAGCCAAGGAGGAGGAGAGGAGACTGAGGAGAATAGGAGGGGCGTCCTCCTATCTATACAGGTGCTAGAAGCATATCCTTAACGGATCCTGTTTACACTGAATTTTTATCTCGTTCACATTGAATCTTTATCCAATCTTCCAATCGGATCTCATCCATAGGATCCAAAATAAGGACTTCGCAACATCTACTTAATATGTGTGATCGTCTAGGCCCGATACCGAACTGGCCATGAGTCGTTTCCGTCAGAACTCCTTATGATATAGTGAATTATTGCTAATAATTCACTCGACTCATCAACTATCGATGTACTAGGCCACTATGCCATAGTCCCTAGACGATACAAGAAGATCTAATCCTTCGAACATGTATATCCTTAGTTACCATGTATCTATAGTCTCTTATTCATCTAATCTCAGAGACCGTATATTGGGCATGGTAAAATCAGGCCCATACGAAATCTTGTCCGAGTCTCGCTCTAATCGGATTCTCCCGAAGAATTCCTCTCT